TCAGACATGTTAAACGAGAGTTCTTCTTTAAAATTCACATGATGTTGTTGACAGCTGATCACATTTGGTAAAGTTATATCTTCTTCTCCTGATGAAAAAATAAAGTTATTTGTACGATTGGGTGGTGGGTGGTGTGTTATGTTCTCTCATCGCCCACGAGTAACCGGCATCGTCTCGGCTCCTGTGAATTAATAATAAAGAATCAGGAAACTTGTCAAGCAATTCTTAAGCTTAGCTAACACTGCAGTCACATGAGGACTGGGTTATAGAGACTTAAGCTATTGCAACCCATGATTGAGTGGGTGTGTGTTAGCACTGTACACACATGCTTAATATGTCCAGTGCACACACAACGGCGTGATCCAGGAATTCACAAGTAGGGTCCAAGAAGTTGTGGTGGGGGAACATGGCGAGGGCAGCGAGCCCAACCCAGCTTGGGGGTGCCTGTGAGCCTCCCCACCAAAAATTTTGAGAGTTTTGAATCTTGACCACAACGTCATGGACATTTTGAGGTAATTTGAAGGAGCAGTTCAGGGTACATTTAGGGAGCTGGTGGCTCAGTGCTTACAACAGTGGCAAGAGACGACCTGATCGCCTCAAGGGCTAACGTGAGAGCCGATCTTCCGCAGAAGAGGCTAAAAGTAAAAAGTAATCATACATTCATGATACAATACAAGGCAGGTGGCTCAGTTCTTGACAGTCACATTCAATAATATAGTGTTCAAGGTACAGCGTTACTAATCTCTGGGTTAGACAGGTCTTGTATCTCTAGCCGCACTTGGCCAGACTACATCACATTGTCTGGTTCGGCTATTATGCTACTACAATTGGCACCTCTTGTCAACTTATGGGTCCAGACTGCTATGGTCACGGTAGCAATTTTATAGCCTATTAATACCCACACTATTGCACAAAATCGCCCAAAGACCGTAGTATTCTCCTGAGTGTATCGTATGGAAGTTTTTCTTTCACGACTGTTCCCGTATCAGATAAAAATAATTTTAGTGACATTTTGCTTTAGTATAAATATATGTGCCAATGTAAATGACAGTTACTCATGTGATCATCATAAAAATGCATTACTGGGGTTAACCAAAATATTACATCATTAACTGAATCAACAATGTTCAATATGAATGGCGAGAAAATCATTTCATATGAAAACTAAGTGACACTTTACCGCAATCAATTACCGTATAGGCTTAATGAAATACTTATATTAAAATTTTAAACTGAAAAAGAGTCAATGTTGATGGGAGGGTAATTTAGTAATTACATTCTTCCTAATAAGGGTAATTTTATTTATTGATTCTGTCAAGTTCTTAAAGACCATCCCAACAGATCTTTGCATAAATCTTGTGAACATCTTTTTTTTTTTTGTAATATATAAACCTCTGACTACGTAGTACGATTAAAATTCGGTTTAATTAAATTGTTTAACTATACAAAGAAAATTTAATTCATTTAATTTCATTCCGGACAATAGGGAAGCAAGAGAAGTAAACATTAGAGTGTCAACCTTTAAATACCGGCTATAGTGCGTATTGCCGCTTACCCTTCCAGGCGCATAAAGTTTCTACGGCGCAGCTGAATTTTTAAATAAAGGAACCTACTTCCAGCATTAAACAGAGTGTAGGAAGGCAATACTAGGTGAAACTGAACTGATTCCAGGATCTTGACAGACGCCTTGTATACCAATACTTGTAGTTAGTATCAATGACACCTGTGTGTGTAGTCTGTACTGTTGGAGAAGAGATTACTGCCTTGCGAAGTACTGTACAGTAGCATATATGTATTTATGATTAATGAGAACAATGATGGAATAGGAAAATAAACTTTCTTAGGAAATGATAGGCACAGTACAGCCTCCAGTGCTGTCTTGAAATGAAAACAAAATAGATAATTATTCTGTAAAACTGTTGATAAGTTCACATCTATAATAGATAATGTTTAATATTCATATGGATGTCACTGGCAGAGGAGGTGGCTGGATTACAGCAGCTGAGACATTGGCCTTAGAGCATTTAGGAAAAAAGGCTAACTTATTAACTCAACCCAACCTAATGATCATATGTTAGTGTTTACTGTTTATTTTTCATGGCTTCCTCGAAACCTTACCATGACCAGTTAAGGTTGGGGGTTGGAGTTACAACAACTGAATGGTATTATTTCCACCTCTGATAAAAAGTAAAATTAAAAGCATTTTAAGTGTATTCACAATTGTAAATGCTTGTTTTTTTGTTTGATTAATATAGTTTGTATCCTGTAGTAGTTTGTGTTTTAAGAATTTTTAAAGTATACCATTGCTGTTGCGTCTGATGTTGAAATACTGCACAGTGAAACCCTCTAATTTTGATTAATTGGGGGAAAGGTGATTCAAGAAGAAAATATCCGGATTACGGTAAATTTCAATAACAAAGGCCAATCACAGAAATAATTGGCAAATTAGCAGTGATGTAGTTTTGAAGAACAATAATAACTCATAAAATACAGATTAAGGTGATTAATTATTTAAATAAGTGCTACCAATTCCAGAAGGGCTCTAAGGTACTGTAGAGGCAGTGAAGGCAGGTAGCATGGGTACACCTGTGGAGCATCTGTTTTGTATCACTTATCAAATACTACATTACAGGCTAAATAACTGCTACATGCTGTCCCACTTTTACGAAGCTCATCGCCACGCGCTGCACTCCTGCCGAACCGGAATGTCATTCTTCACGTGTGTAATCTTTACGCTGAGAGTATACAGCAGGATGCGCATACAAGGTTACCTATTCATCAAATATTAATGAAGTTCTTCACCCGCCACCCACCACCGCCGGCCCAAGTCAGTGATAATGATTATGGGCCGTATTGATAGTCATTACGACGATAATGACGATCACGATCATCATCTCGATGATCGTGTGTCGGGATGCAACCACCCAACGCTGAGTGCCATATTCCCAGGCACTTACATGAGCGTGTAAACACGGCAGCTCGTGTCGGATGGCAAAATTTTTTTAGCCATGCGCGTGTGCCAAATGTATTATTTCACATAATTAGAAAGACGATTGAGAGAGATATTTAGTTATTTTATACCGGCACAATAATATATTGTAAAATATATTTTTTTATAAAATTGAACTTTATTATCTGTTCGAAACAAAATAGATAATTTTTTCATCTGAGTACTTGGCAACAATGTTTGCGCGCGTGTTATCAAACATGGAGGTAGTAAGAAAACGTTCTGCAGCTCTGTCTGAAACCCAACACATGGCACTTTTGCGCCATATTGAGCAAAGGCCAATCATTGAGGACAGGTCTACAAGCAACACCATACATGATAGGAAAAGAAAGGCCTGAAAATATCAATTGTAAAAATTAAAAGTAAATAGATTTTTTTAACCAAAGAGTGGTGTTGTGTGTATCATTAAAACTGTGATGTAGCCGAGTATTGCAGAATTTTAGAGCAAATTATTTGCATTGATAGTAAGCTGTACTTATTCTTTATTTTATTAGTGGCAGTAAATATTTAAGTTAAAGAATAAAGATAATGAAATCTAATGCTTACTTATGTCGTCATATTTCTGCCTGACACACACAAGACATTGTAGATCGTAAACCTTAGCTTATATCTTGTTGAAAATAAATATTAACGTTTATACTAAACTATATTACTGGGCCAAAAACTGTGATATTTTCCTTGCTAACTCAAGATAGAGTGAGCTCACTTGGCTTTTTTTTTTTTTTAAGGGGATTAGCCCACCTGGGCACAGGTCAATGACCCACATCGGGGCCTGGGGGGCAAAAATTTAATAATAATAATAGTAATTCATAGTAAATAAAATTTATAATTAAAAGTAAAATAAAATAATAACAACAATAATAATAATAATAACAATACTGTAATAATGATAATAAAGAAAAAATAATAATAATCAATAGTTAGAAACGCTATATGTACAGTATGTTGTCTTGTCAATAGTAAGAGAAACAATTGAGATCCTGCAATTGTGTGTAAATGAGGCAGAAAGACAGATCAGCAACCTGGGACTTGGTCACAATATTCGTGATGCCATATGGTAGCAGGGTCTACCATTAGACAACACATTATGCTTCCAATATCTTCCCAGGCGGTAGTACCTACTTGCCTCATTCCGGAAAACATAAGTAAATTTCGTGGTTCAGATGGTTGAAATTTTATTACTACTACGACAAAAATATTGTATGAATGAATAAAGATAAGAAACATACCTTAAATGATAACAGAAGTAATTGTTAATTGAAGATGAGGCTCACAGCACAGACAGCAGTCGGAGCTGTGATGTCAACATTCCAATAATGTTTCAAGTTCATAACAGTGTTGTGAAAGTTCATTTATCCGTATTAACACTTCTTTTAATTGTTCTTATCAAAAAAATAATATAATTCGACGTAGACATCTGTAATATAAAGTACTGGAAGAACTTTCATAAAATATAATGATGATTATTTGTCGTAAGGCAGCTATCAGGTGGGGGTAGCCACCCGATGTTGTTTCCAACATTTCAGGGATATGCGTACGGTTCCCTTCCGATACCTTGTTTATCGGGATGACTATTAATAGACCAGCACGAACACTATCAATTGGCATTGTGCTTCGTAATGACTATCAATCTGGCCCAGTGAGGATATGGATTTATACGGACTTTGAGGGGTTTGACAAAGAGGCCCTGCAAGCCTCTGTGGTGGATAGTGATACAATTGATACAAATGATACAGGTGAGGGCCAATAATCTGCCCTCTGCCTCGGAACCAACCCCCCATCCCCGTGTGCCCAGCCATCTTTTCTACTAATGTAAGTGTTAAAAAACCTAATATTATTGATATTTCACTTAATTATTAATTGTGTGTGCATACCATCATAAAATTATGAAGTTATTTTTACTACAACGTAGGTACTGTGTCTGAAAAAGTGGAGTTTGGGGGTCGGCCCGGTCTCTATTTCAATTAATCCCGTATGTTATGTTGTTCACTTTACGCGTTTTTCACTTTACGCGGGCCACCGTGGGTTGAATTAACCGCGTAAAGTGAGGGTTCACTGTACTACTAAAACACTTGTACACTAATTTTGAGTTGCTGTCTCAATGATCTGCACTTCAACAACTGTACACTTATAGTTTCTTCATCAGACTCTTCACATTGTAAAATCTGTTGAGTTCCAGGAGTAGATGCAGTAATAGCTCCGAGATCTGACACACCACAAGATTTGAACCAAAATGGAAAGAAACGGAGGAGGCAGGATTGGACACATTGCTTGACAGGCTCAGAGATGCTCACCATGTGATCTAAATTAATGCGTTTCACTGTACATCATGAAAATTTGAATATTTAAATGTATATATGTTTTAGTTTAATTTGTGCAATGAGTAATTTGAGCATTCCCTCTTTGGGTGGCTTGTATTAGTATTAAAATTTTTGACTGAACTGTCATTTTGATGATGGCTTACAGCTTGCATCACTGTCATCACTTGCAGAGTGAAACTGAATTCATGGCTGAACTTCTTGTTGCATTGGCATATCGCCGTATACTTCGCCGAGAACGGACGTACCGAGATCCATTAGATCCACTAGCCGTCAGCGATGAACACTTGATAAAACATTATAAGTTTCCTCGGCAAGAAATTTTACGCCTGTGTGAAGAACTTCGACCATCAATTGAACGTCCAACAAATAGATCACATGCCATTCCCTGTCACACGCAAGTACTTGTTGCTTTAGGGTTTTATACAAGTGGTAATCTTCAGTCTTCTGTGGGAAACTCTACAGGCTTAAGTCAAACCAGTGTGAGCAGAGTGATCAATAAAGTGACTGATGCTTTGTTTAAGAAAGGACTTACAGAAATCAGAATGCCTAAAGATGCTATAAGCATCAACAAAACCAAACGGAACTTCTGCATGGTTGACAACTTTCCCGATGTAGTTGGTTTGATTGACTGCACACACATTCCTATTAAAACACCCATTGCTAATGAACGCAAGTATGTGAACCAGAAGAATGTCCATTCCCTAAACATTCAAGTAGTGTGTAACAGTGAAATGCTCATTGGTAATTTTGTGGCCAAGTACCCGGGAGGTGCTCGTGATGCCTTTATATGGAGCAACTCGACTCTTCATAAGCGATTTGAAGTTGGTGATTTTGGGGATGCATACTTACTCGGTGAGTATTTTGTTTTTGTGTCTCGAGTAAAACTTAGCTTGGGCTGATGTTAGATAGTTTGATGAAAATGAGACTTGGTTTAGTAGTTTAGCATTCAGAGTTGTGATTAACTGTAGATAATTGTTATACTCTTTAATATCAGCCAAGCAGCCATTCAGTTAAACAAGAAAGGTTATTATTACAAATCTTAATTGTTCTCACTTTTATAATGCAATAAAACTGTGTTGTAAATTTTTTATTTTAATTCATAAAGAACATTAGTATTACTTTAATAATATTGGGTATAACCGCCAATCAGACGGTTAGAGGGTGAATAATGCTTCTCACGTCTTACACGAACATTATAATTCGGTCAAACCTGTTGAATACAATTCATTTAGTATTTCAAATAAGTCATACATAGGCACTCTTACATAAATGTTTAATCCAATATATATTTACATAACAATCATGGCTATGTAATTAGTCTAATCTTAACACAAAAACAATGACACAGTCTACCTGTGTACACAATAAGTACTAGTTAAACTTACGTGTTGAAAGTCTAGAGAGAAGCCAGGGTAGGTGTTGACTCTTAACTTTTACTTTTTACTTTTATCCTCTTCGCCACTGATCGGCTTATTAGCCGCCAGGCGTCGGTCACGTCTCTGTCACGCACTGTTGGCAAATACTGGGCATGCACCGGCTCTGAATGTACCTGAACCCGCTCAGTGGTCAAGTCTTCTGAAAGAGCTCACACTCCCGTGCATCTCTGAGTTGTTCCAGAGTTTACTTTCAAAAAAGTTTGCCCTCACGGTTTTCTGGACTTGGCTTCTTCAATCTTGAGCCTGTTGCCAGGGGCGGGCGTCCGCCAGCTCAAATAAGACACTCTTGATAGTGCCCCTGAGATGCTTATACACCCTCAACTAGGTCCCCCTTGCCCGTCTGTAGTATAAGCTAGGTAAGTTCAGCGCTCAGTCTCTCGGGGTAGCTGAGGTGGTGCAGGCACCAGTCTGGTGGCCCTTTGAACATTTTCAACCAACTGACAGTCCCTAGCATATCTCGGGGACCAGATGGGGTGACAGTATTCCAGATGGGGAAGCACTTCACTCCTGAAGATCGTTACGAGGGACGGACCGTCTAGATATCTGAACGACCTTCTTATAAGACCCAATAATTTATTTGCTTGATTTACCTTCTTCTCACAATGGCCCGAGAACTTCAGCTCATTGTCAACGTACACACCTAGGTCTTTCTCACACACAGTCTCAACTAGTGCATTTTCTTCATCCTGTTGGGACATATGATATGCCTCCTTACCGTTGGTACGCCCCAGGTGCATCCTCTTACACTTCGAGACATTGAATCTCAGCAGCCATTTCTTCGACCATTCCTGGAGCCCACAGAGGTCCTTCTGCAGCTCTTCACAGTCCGCTTGGTTCTTAATTTCCCGAAATAACTTGCCATCATCGGCAAACATTTGTATGGAGGAGTGTACAACGTCAAGCATGTCATTTATGAAACAAACAAACAACAGCGGGCCCAATACACTGCCCTGTGGTACCCCACTTGTTACAGGTACCGATGACGATTTCGTGCCATTAATCACCACACACTGCTTGCAGTCATGTAGAAAGTCTTCTATCCACGCTAGGACATTTCCCCGAATTCCATACCCTTCCAGTTTGATTTTCAGCCTTTCGTGGGGTTCACTGTTGAAAGCCTTGGCAAAATCTAGGTAAATATTGTCGATATAACCACCCCGTTCCAGAATATGGGTCCAAATATCCAATACCTTTAGCAATTGTGTTAAGCAAGAGCGCCCCGGCATAAAACCGTGTTGGCAATCTTTTACAAGGTTGTTTCGTAGTAGATGTTCCATCACGGCATCTCTGATAATACTCTCAAGTACTTTACATATTATGCTGGTCAGGCTCACCGGTCTATAGTTGTTCGTGGAGTGACTATCGCCCTTCTTGAAGATAGGACTCACATAAGCCACTTTCCATTCACTGGGGACCATTTGTTCATCCAGGCATTTACAAAACAGGATCTTCAGGGGCTCTGCAAGCTCGTTGCACAGCTCTCTTAGCACTCTAGGATGCACCATGTCAGGTCCAGGACTCTTATGGACCTTTAGCCTGGACAGTTTATTTCTAATACCCTCTTCTGTGAACACAATGTGGGTCAGTGCTGTGTCGAACCGTCTGTCCTCAAACGCAGGAAGGTTAGTTGCATCCTCTCTTGTGAACACTGAGGAAAAGAAGCTGTTCAATGCCTCAGCTTTATCCTGGTCAGAATCTGCGTAACTACCATCTTCAAGCCTCAGGTCTGATACTCCTACTCGCGTTTTCAATTTCGACTTTGCATAGCGGTAAAACGCCTTTGGGTTTGACTTGACCTCGCGTGCAACCAGCCTCTGGAACTCCTTTTCAGCCCTCCTACACTCTATCTTTGCTTGGTTTCTGGCTCTTGCATACATCCTCCTGTCTTGCTCATCGTTTGACCCAACCCACGTCTTGAATTTCTGGGTTTTCTTCTTAATTTTGTCGACCGCCGCATGGTTCATGTGTAGGGATCCCCTCGTATTCTAGAAGCACTGGGTTTGGTCTTGGGTATATATTTATCGATCAAATGGGTCATTTTACTAGTTATGATATTCAGCATAGTGTCTGCGTTCTTGTACCTTAATAAGTCAGGCCAGTTGATACCCCTCATCTCTTCCCTCATCCCATTGTAATTTCCCTTGTAATATTTGCACCTTGGCCTGGCCTTATCTTGAACTAGGTAACAGTTAAATCTGAATGACAACACTGTATGGTGACTGGTGCCAACTGGGGCAAGGTGTTCCAGTTTGGCCACCATACCCTCCTCGTTTGTTATGATGAGGTCAAGTGGCTTGGGTGTTTGCTCCCCTCTGTAATGTGTCGGGTCTCTCACATGTTGGAACAGAAAATTATCTCTCAGAGTTTCTACAAAAAGAGTAGCAGGGTTATTCAAGTCATTCGGGGTGGACTCGTTTCTCCAGTCGATGTCGCCATAGTTAAAGTCCCCCATGATAAGGAGGTGGCTAGGGTTGAGCATCGCCGCATTGTTTATTAAGGTTCTTAAGTTCCTTTGATTTAGTGGGCCACAGTTTGGGGATCTGTAGATACACCCGACGATAAGTAAGTCCCCTCCCTTTAATTTAATTTTACACCACTTGGACTCTTCAAAAACATCCTCTCCCTGTACCCTCGCCTGGCTGGCTCTAAGGTCTTGCCTAGCGTAGATAACCACACCCCTCCTGCAGGATTCTTGAGTTAGGTTCGTAAATGAGTCATATCCAGCAATACTGAACTCACATTCCTCTGGGTCGATTCTCCTGTTCTTGTACAACAGTTCTACAACTCCTACAATATCTGGTTGGTGTACTCTTAGTAGTGTTTCAAACTCCTCTCTCTTATCAAGGAACGTGTCAGTATTAGTGTACATGACATTCAAGCCAGAATTTGTTCTCGGTAACGTCTCTGCCCTTCGTAATAAACCCGCTCCCCCCACATTCTCAGAAGCTGCAGCATTTGCTAAGTACACTGTATTTTGCAGGGTGTGGTTAGAAATGTCTTTGTTTACACGGCGCTCGCCCCCTCCTGTCCGGTAGGCTGAGCTGGTGCCGCCTCCCGGGTGGTGGGTTGAGTGGGTGGAGGGTGCACTGCTGCCCCCTGGCCCTGTGTCGGCACACTTGTTTCCACTACCCTCCACCTGAGTATAACCCATGTACACCTGTCCCCGTTCCTCCTCGACTCCTCCCTCTTCTGCTTCAAGTCCTGCAGGAGCTTCTTGTGCTGTTCCCTCTGCATTACCGTGCGGTCTGGGTGAATGAATACATCCCGAAATGCCTCGCTCCTTGCTAAGTTTTTTGCCTGCCGAATAACTTGCCATTTCTCCTCCTCACTCACTAGTGTGATCCTGAGGGGGCGAGGCTTAGCCCCCTGCTTTTGTCCCAGCCTCCTCACATCCTGAGGGGTTGCTGGAATCTTCAGAACCTCTGTGCAAATATTTTGAAACAGCACCTTATCGTGTGTTTCCTTACTCACAGTTCCCTCCGCCTGGCTCTCTGTGACTCCAAAAACTATTACATTGTTCCTGCGCTGGAGCCGTTCCTGGTGTTCCTCCTCTCCCCTAACAGTAGGTCCGTTAATTTTCATTTCTTCGACACACTTCTTCAAAGTCCCAATCTGCTGTAGAACCTGTACTGATTCTGCATTACTCCCCACCCCCCCTTCCCCGTGGCCCTCCTAATACGTCAGCATAACTCCTCTTAGCAACCACCTCCATTCTATCAGCTACTTCCTCAGTCTTAGCAAGGATCTCTTTCCCAACTTGCTCCAGTTTGTCAACCAGCAGGGCTCCTGCTTCATCTATTTTCGTCCCTAGAGAACTCGTTCCCTTATGGATTGCAATCGCTTCATTCACCTTGACTATGCAGCCAGAGCAATACCAGCAACAGCCATCATGCTTTACGGCAGTTAGTAACTTCCTAAACGTTGCATTAGTCAGGCCTGTATCCTCCATATCCGACGTCTCCCTGCAGTAATCACATATCAAACTCATGGTTGTTGTTGTTGTGGGGGGGGGGGGTGCAGACTGTGTATAAATCTACACCTATTTAAAAAAATAAAGAGAGAAAAAGTACTTAGCTACTCTCTGTTGCCTATAGAGTTGTCGTCTGCGACTGCGTACACTGTATCTCCCTGTGAATGGTGTATTGTAGGCACAGTTTCAGTCCTTGAGAAAGCACACAAACAAAATAAAATTTAAAGTCTCTGTGGCACCTATGACACGAATAGGCTGGCAGTTGTCCTTACCAGCTTGATTGCCAATATGTATTCACTTTAAGTTATTTATAGTCTCTTCTGCATTCACTGATGACAACTATGAACTGATTTAACTGAAGGCACAGTACTACACTCCCTGGTTGGCCTTTATCACAGCCGTGACCACAACACCCTAAAAAATAAAATAAAATAAAAGCTTTGTCATGTGGCAGTGATTGTGTGGTTATAGGCCTGTGACCCTGGCTGTACCTCCAACTCGGTGGAAATTGAGTTTTCAAAAATACAATCGTGTCTAGCATTAAAAGTCCTACATCGATTTACACTTTCACATCACTAAGACGATCTTGACGATCTTATGTAATCACTGTCCAATTTCTGCCGCTCTACATCGAAGGCCCGAATGCCGAACACGCTTTGTTACAGACGCAACACGACCCGCCCGCCGGGTAGCTATACTGAAATGCCTACCCTATAGCCTGGCCCCTTGGCTGGTCAGCTATGGCTGAGTCAGGTGATTATAATTATACATAAACAAACTCCCTTCACACCCTCCAACCTCCTTCTGGGCCTCTCATCTTCAACCATCTCAACACTCTACATTGCATACGGGCACGCATGCCCAATAAACATGACATGAGTTACAGCCTAACATAACATTTGTTTATATGTCATCATAATTATGTTACGCTTACTGATAACATTTAGGATTATTGTTGAATTTAAGTACATTACAATTAATACTATATAATATACGTAACATTATTGATGATACTGCTGTTTTATTAATGCTTTAATGTAGAAAGTGAAGGATCTAGAAATGGACATCTCAACAAATGGAACAACTGTACTGGTATGAAGGACATTAAATTATAAAGTTGCCTAGAAAAGGGTGAATATTATAGATGCATTGAGAAATGTATGGAAAGGGCAGACTATGTTAAAGAGGGAGAGGTATTTATAAAAAACACTTAAGTTGATATGAGTATGAAGCATTGACAGTGGATGCAAAAGAAGGAAATAAGTTGGAAGCTCCAGTAATGACATGCCTGAGAAATATGTGGGAGTGTCAGTGTACCAACTGAAATGTTGAACACTTATTCTCCAAACCAGACCTGAATCTTCATACTAATACTACAGCCTTGTTAACATTGTGTTTAGAATAAGTTTGGTTACATAAGCAGGGCCGTCCCTAGGAGGGTGCAGCGCCTGGGGCAACTCAGCCACTGCGGGGCCCCAGATTATGCGGTCAGAGGAACCCACCCCACCAACCCCCATTAGACTGTCGCTATGGATGGTAAGGTTACTGTTGCGATGGTGGCGTAAGCCGTCAGGTCAGATTAACCAGTCAACAGGTAATGTGTCGAGGTCACTGGGTCTAGTGCTGGGCCCCACAGGGCGGCGATCGCCCTGTCGCCCCCTCCTAAGGGCAGGGCTGTACATAAGGTTTGGTTAAGTTCCAGGTCTGTGGATTAGGTAGTCCTAACTCATACCATCACAAACCAGACTGACTCAGTAAATTGCAAAACAAAAACCAACCAGATACTGTACCTCTACCCCCAGACTACTAAGGGCTAAATAAAATTGTCTGATGTTAGCAAGGATAAAATCCCTAAATTGTTTCATAGCAATCAGAGGGTTAATCCTTACATAAATTTTTCAGTCCGGTGCTGTACTAAACTTTCTCCTCCATACGTAAGAGAACATGCGATTGAGGATCTCATTATACCATACTACTCTACACTTTACGGTTTCCCATTTTAATTGTTATCTCTATTTCAGGTGACAGTGATTACCCTCTTCAGCCTTTCCTTTTGACACCTTTCCATCACCCAGTAACTGCTGCACAAGAAAGGTACAACAGGAGCCACAAGAAAACAAGGGATATTATTGACAAGACATTCGATATACTGAAGTCTAGATTCAGATGTCTGCACCAGGCTAGAGGTTACTTGAATTATGAACCAGGGAAGTGTTAAAATGTGTAGCCAGTTTGTACCTACACAATCGGTGTATTCAGCGTAGTATTCCACTCGATATGGAAGACCTGATACAAAATGATGATCCAGGTCCTGTTGAACAGTTCTATGAGGATCACACTAGTCTTGGCTACTGTAAAAGAATGGAGGTAGTGGACAAATTTTTCACACAAATTATGTAAATTCTGTACAGTACTCTGGGTTGCTTCTTCATCTGTATGAACCCAAATGTCAGATTCATATTCTTTTTAAAGATATTGTACTGTATTATCATACCGAATCATTGACACTGCCATAGGTCCTTTTTACTATAACTTAAACAGAAGAACTGTGCTCCACTTCCTCCAATTCAGTGAAAACTGTTGTTAAGAGTTTTCATATTTCCAAAATTACTTTTCAGCTGTGGATATCTAGTACAAATGTGGGTGCAGTGGGACAGAAAAGTTTATGAAACTATAAATTTCTTGTTTAAAAAGAATTTGTAGTTGTCTTATGACTTTAAAATCTAATGTAGATATACCATAATGAGCATAAGATATTAGACATGTATTCATACAGGGGTCCTCATTTTACGTCAGGGATGTGTTCCAGAGAAGAGCGATTTATAACTCACTTTTTGTCAAATTTTAAGTTGATGTCTTAGGTTTAGGATAAATTATATTTTAATAGGTTTTCACGAAGTTTCCTTTATTTGTTGTTTATTATTTATGAATAATTTTATGACTGATAATTTAGTTTTACTGCATTTTCATATTTTATATACATTTTAACTTTAAAAATATCTTATACAGTATCTGTTTTGTATTTTAAAGCATTTTATGAATGTTTTTCATCTTGAATTATTAATTTATTTAAAATAAATTTTTATGTTTTAAAGTACTGTACTGTAGTACTGGTACATAATGAAGATAGTACTGTACAGCCTTTATGCAGCACTTTGAATATTTTACAAATTTTTTACATTTGTAAATTTTTGTTTAAACTTAGTTGGCTCTTGGGTGCTACAGTCTTAGCCGCTGAAGCTCCTTTAAAAAACACAGTACACCTGTGCATGTAAGCAATCAGTCAATATAAGCAGCTCACTTGTTTAGGTCTGCTTTGTCCATTCATATGGAATATGAATCATCCATGAACCCTTCAGAGTATCTCTTTAATTTGTACAATTTGGATGCACTTGAACTTTGAAATTGTCCTATTGCCGCTAAATCTGTGGTACCCCAAACAATTGTATGATTTAATAATACAGTGGTCACTTTCGGTTAAAGAACACAATGTCCACAGAGTCGTTCGTTAACCGAATCCATTATTTCAATGGGATATTGGGCAATTGGTTCCACCTCACAAAAAAGTTCATACAAAGTATAAACAAAATGCAGTAAAGTACACTTACTTTGAGGTGTGTATGTAGAATGTTGCTGGTTGATCATGATGGGAATTAGAAGTGGGCAGGACGAGGAAGTGGGGGTGGAGAAGGGAGAAGAGAGCATTTTCATGCTTCTTGGAAGCAATAATTGTAGACACAGTTGATGCCGACAAGCCATATTCTTTACTCAGTTCATTGGTTCTAATGCCTTCTTCGTGTTTCTTAATAATTTCCTGTTTCACTTGAATTGAAATCGCCTTTCTAGATTTCTTTGGACCCATGCTTGATGCAGTTCAGTAATTAAACAAATAAAATTTTAAGTTCACTAGCTGTAAGTAAAGATTATTATTTTTTTAAATAAACACTGCACTGCTCTATATACAATTAATTATCAATAGGTTAACTAAATTTCAGAATGACCAATAATTTTAATGTAAAAAACATAAAAAGACTCTGTATTCAAGAGAGCGACAAACACGATGTTTCCTCTACTGTAAACAAAGTTAAACCGACGCTTTGGCGGGTGAGTCAAGCGGCTGATGGGCGCACAAAAAACTAGTTCCCTGCATATATTATCAATATGTTAACTAAATTTAAAAATTACTCGTAATAATTTCAATATAAAAAATGCAAAATTATTAAAAAGCACAACCTTCTTGATATTTACTCCACTGGAAATGAATGTAAACATAGAAGGATACCGTATTGGCGGACTAGCTAATCAGCTGATGCTCACAACAAAACGTGTTTGTTGTAAGGATTTCGTTAATCGAAGTTTTGTTCGTTAACCGAATTGAAGATCTTTATGGGAACTAATTCGTTAACCGAAATTTCGTTAATTGAACCGTTAGTTAATCGAGGGACCACTGTACTGTACAATATAATTCATAATAGTAGGAAACAATATTTTTACCATGAAATCTTTGAAGACATATCTTAGTTTTTTCAGTTATTGTCTGTTTAATCCCTGAAGATGAAATTGTCATAGATTCTGAAAAAATTGGAAATGACTGAAGTCCTTTGGGCAGTTCTTGAGATGCATCACATCTAAATAAAAAAAAAAAAATCTCTAATTTGACACTTTCGACTTGTACAGTACAGTGATCCCTCTGTTAACGAATGCCTCGGTTAACGAAATTTTGGTTTACGAATTACCATCCATAAGAATATTCAATTCGGTTAACGAACAAAAATTCGGTTAACAAAATTCTTACGAAAACATGTCAACATGTTTTAACGCTCCTCAGTTGGAATATTAGTCCGTAATATACAGTACAGTCGGCCCTTAACATACAGGTTTATAATACGGATTTGCAAATCGTCTGTGGTTGCCCCGGAGGAATTCTGTACATTGGAAGTAATTGAAGTACATTCAACTCATGCTGACACGAACAGGACACCGCTCGCTCCCAACCTCACACACACACACACACACACACACACACAGGTGCGGACCATGGAAATTCACCCTTTTCTGGATAGATAGTGACTTGTTAGCATGCCTGAAGCACTAGCACCACTTTCTCTGTGTCATGGTCTCTTTGAAGACATATTGAAGGGTTAAATGTAAAGTATAGTAGCTTCTCAAATTTCAGCGGTTTTTTAATTCTTGCGTATTTTATTGGAACACAAAAAATAAATAAATAAAATTTTGACGGCGAGAGCTGAATTTTTGAAGGGTTTGAGCGGCCGTAGCGTGCGAGCGGCGTGCATAATGCATTAATAAACAGCGTCATTTCTCTTATGTACAAAAGATTCCTTGTGTTTATTACTGAATGTCTTTTTTATTGAATTAATGTTTATGTGTGCAAAATGAGCAATACAATTCTTTAATAATACGTAGAATATTAAAACACGAGAAAATGACACAGCGTGTATTAGTTGATTACAAAACCAGTGACTGAAGCTGGTTCTACATATAAAACTGAAGAAAATAAGACCTTGGTTGTAGCTGTAGTAAAATTAATATGGTTGTTTTAAGTAATGTTATTTAATGTTAATAAATGGAACAATAGAAGTAGCTAATGATAATGGTAAAGAAAAAGAGATGCATATGTAAGTGCGCATCGCACCGCATTGAAACATATCATCATTACTTTACATAAGAATATAGAAAGCTTAACACTTATTTACTGTTCATATATATTTTAATTAATGTTTCTGAATTTGTTTTATTGGATTAATGTGCGTGTGTGCAAAATTAGCAATATAATTTATTAATATCGTGGAATATTAGAGGCGAAGGCGGCTGCGGCATTGTTTATGTTAAAAAGCTTCACGAAACCAGTGACTGATTGGTTCTACATATAAAACTGAAGAAAAATAAGACCCTGATTTTAGCTGTAGTAAAATTAGTAAAAAAATGAATATGATTGCTTGAAGTACCTGTAATGTTATTTAATGTTAATAAATGGAACAATACAGTATAAGTAGCTAACCATTAATGGTAAAAAAGTGGGAACTGCTCATTATGTAAGTGCTTTTATGTGAAAATATGTCGTCATTACTCTACATATGGGAAAATATGAAAGCTTATTTACTGCTCATATATATTGAAGGGTTAAATGTTGTACTCTGTATAGACAAGCAGAGAGAGCAGCGAACTGCGGATGTAAACAAACCTTAATTTCCGGCTTTTTTTTTTAAGGGGATTAGCCCACCGGAATAGGTCACTGACCCACATTAGGGCCTGAGGGGCAAAAATTTAATACTCCTGTAATATGTAATAATAATAATTCAGATAAGTGAAAAAAAAAAAAAAAAAAAGACAGCCTATCTACCTGGTGCGACTAAAATGGTTCGGACCACAGAATGCGGACT